GAAAGAAATTATGTTATTTTATGATAATGGCTTTACCTGTTGCGATTTCAATGCTAGATATAGCTTCATATTTCGGAGAATTTTACTTGAAATTTGAACGGTGGAGGATTTTACTTGAAATGTAAACTTCAATATTAAAAATTTACATGAAGTGTAGCAATTATAATAGAGTTTTTGCTGATTGGTTTCCACTGTCATACTAAGTTAATTTGCGAAGAAAGGGAAAATATACATTTTTGAAGCTCCAGGACTGCATTTCTGGCGTTTTCTAAAGCAAATTTGCAAACGAATAGGCAATTCCAGCTTTTAGTTTATGCGTGCAGGGGAGGATGGGAAGTAAAGTATCATATTGCTGATTATGCTGGAAAAAATAAAAATGGCGGTCGTGTAAACACTAGCCTGCGTGGCAGGCCCTCAAATTTATGGGGGGCCTGATTTGCAGCGGGCAGGATTTTGGCGGGCTCCGGGGGAGGATTAAGGGCCTGCAGGAAAGCCCGCTTTTCATGACCACACGCCGATCAGATTATGGACGGTGAATGCGATCACCTGATTGGTCAATACCAAGTCAGTGGAAAACCGTAGTATTTGTTGATTTCAATATTGTTGCTATCTAATCCTCGATCTATCTTGAACATCGTTGGTTGCTATTTTTTCTTATTCAGCAGCGATACAAAAGATGATCTCACTGGCCAGTCGTCAGGAAATAGCACAGGATAATTGCAATTAACGTGCATGGATGTAAAATTGTAAATACTGATTCTGATGTACTATATAAAAGTATTAAGCTCAACATCGACAGTTTGAAAACGTGTGAAGGGCGTTCGTCACTGTGGTCCAGCCACTTTTCGTTTGTAGGGTTTCGAGTCACAATATTCCCATTCGAATGACCTAAAAGCACTTTTAGTGATTTAAGCACAGTTAATTTATTAAGTGACGAACGCCCACGAACGCCCTTCACACGTTTTCAAACCGTCGATGTTGAGCTTACTTCGGTACATCGTCGGAATCAGTATTTACATCCACGTTGTCTGCAGTACTTGTGCTATTTCTTGATGACAGCTGGCCAGTGAGATCATCTTTTGTATTGCTGCTGAACAAGCACTGTACTTTTAGGCGCAGATTTCGATTCAGTTCTAGACATACTACCCTGAAAACATCGCGGAGAACAAACGCGATTTGATTCAGTTTGGTTGAATAGACTAGCGCCATGGTCAGCGTGCCAGGAATTAACAGTTTACGCTTTCCTGATGTTTCTACATCTTTGGACTGGTAATGGTGTTGAAACTTCTCGTGTAGTACTGTAGTGTATAATTTAACAAAAGCCAACTTTCTCACATATATTAAATCTGAGAGCACAATTCCGAAAGATTGTTTTCTTTCTGATGGTTTTTTGTGATGGATCATGAACAATTTTACTAAAATTGCCAAATTGCTGTTTAATTTAAAACAACATTTACAAAATCTGCAATATTGTATTAAAATTAAATTGTATTATAGTTTTGAGCGGTACCGGTATTGAGTTTAATTCGCCATATTGTTTGATTGACATGTTTACGTGCAAGCGAATATTTTTTAGAAACAATTAATTATGTTATGACTCAGAGGAGGTCGGACAAGCAATTAGCGAGTTGTCACGTGAGCTCTCGACCAATGAGATCGCTCTATTTTCCATCGTGTTTTCTGCAGAATTTGGGCAGAAAAATTTGGCATAGTACAAAACATGGACTGGACTGGACTGGACAGTTGGACCAGACTGGACAGTTGGACCAGACTGGACAGTTGGACCAGACTGGTCAGTTGGACCGGACTGGACAGTTGGACTGGACTGGACAGTTGGACTGGACTGGACTGATTTTTACATTTTCTCTATTCTTCACTTGCACGTCACCCGCCATGTCAGGTGGCATGGCACAAAAGAATATTTTATCACAGAATAAATATACCATGGTGTGTACCAGGAGGAGATTGGTTTCAAGTCAAGAATATAACGTTTTGCACCTGAATTACTTTTGATTTTCGGAAATTGAAATACTTTACCTTCGCCGATGACCTCACTTTATAACTGGAGTGAAATCTCAAGAAACCCCAGTAAGGGGCCGACCATTTAACTTTTGAGGGGGGGGGAGGGGTTGGAGATTTACTGCTGGAAGGGAATTTTTTTCTTGATATGGGATCGTTATGTGCAGGATTTTTTTCCCCTATCCCATCACCATGTACGATATTTTTTGCCACTCTCTTTCGCAGCATTTTTTTTTCAATAGCTTATACTATTTAGATTCTTTAATTAATATTAGTTAACGTTGCGTTTTCTAGCTTCATGCATTGCTTTTAATAATACATATTGCTATGAGGTATAAGATTTGGTTCAGGGCCTCTTTACGGATGTGTAACTGGAGGGGACATATTTAGCGGGGACCTGGAGAAGTTCCAGTCGGCAAGTCTGTATCACTGCAGCTACCAGCATATATATATATATATATATATATATATATATATATATATATATATATATATATATATATATATATATATATATATATATATATATATATATATATATATATATATGCATGGTTTAACTAATAAGTATACGCCATAGGGCAGCAGATCAGGCCAATATTAACTAGGATTCTGAGACAACCGAGTCGACCACCGAAGGTGCAAGCCTCTAGAGGGGTCTGGGGGCATGCCCCCCCCCCAGAAAATTGTGGATTTTGTGAAGCTCAGATAAGCTATTTTCAGGAGTTTTCCAACAAGAAATTAACCTTACACTATAGTCTCCGAAAATCAAACCAGCTGATCTTCTGGGACTGGTCAAATCGATCCCTGCAACCATGTTATTTTGCAACATTTTTTCCCCCACCAAATACTGGGGCAGGATATTTTTTCCCCCAGTTTGTTAGTGCAGGCATTTTCTTTTGTTCAGAATAGCCTTGCAGGAAATCACCCCCTCCCCCATCCCCCTCAAAAGTTAATGGTCGGCCCCTAAGAAGAATAGAATACAATACCAAACATAAACTACTTTGTAGCCTGCTCGGATACGTATTGCCATGATCGTAAGAAGATCTTGTGGGGGGGGGCTCATATTCATATATTCATGTTCGCAGACTGTAAAAACAATCAAATTCAAAAGAAGTTAATGATGCAGACCACAAATATATGAATATGAGCTCCTGCCCCCCCCTGCCAATTATCTATCTTTCTATGCCCATGGCCATGCAGACTGAAATATCGAAATTTAATACGTATGCGAGCAGGCTACCCATAGCAAAGACAGATAAGTAGTTTATGTTTGGTATTGTATTCTATTCTACTTACTGGGGTTTCTTTCGCTTTAAGAGATTTCACTCCAGTTATAAAGTGAGGTCATCGGCGAAGGTAAAGTATTTCAATTTCCGAAAATCAAAAGTAATTCAGGTGCAAAACGTTATATTCTTGACTTGCAATCAATCTCCTCCTGGTACACACCAGACAATGTTCATTGCTAAAATCACAAAATACTTGACACGGTATATCTATTCTGTGATAAAATATTCTTTTGTGCCATGCCACCTGACATGGCGGGTGACGTGCAAGTAAAGAATAGAGAAAATGTAATAATCAGTCCAGTCCAGTCCAGTCCAACTGTCCAGTCCAGTCCAACTGTCCAGTCCAACTGTCCAGTCCAACTGTCCAGTCCAGTCCAGTCCAACTGTGCAGTCCAGTCCAGTCCATGTTTTGTACTATGCCGAAAAATTTGTATTCGACGGAAAATAAATCAAGAAAAAACATTAATATTAAAATTTTCTTGCAAAATTTCAAGTGTAATAGTACTACTGCTAAAGATCTGGTGATATCTGCAAAAATCTCTAAGGTAAACGTTGTTTTCAATGTTATTTTGATGTTTGAAGTTAGACGACTCCCCGCGACGTGTAGACTCAAGTCTAAATATGTTTACAATGTTTAAAATGAAATATCTAGAATTCTCATGGTTCGATTTTCCTCATTTTTGGCAGCCATCAAGAAAAATATATAAGCTTTAAATCTGCTGGAATGATCCCGGTGACCCCCAAGCAGTTTTCGAGATATTGGCCATTGAAGCGACTATTGTCAACTCGACGCTCGCTAAAATGGCGTCTAATACCTTGGAAAGAATTTGCGCCATCAAAGATTATATTTTCAACGAATTTTTGTTAAAGTGTTAAAATATTATTTAGAAGACTTAGGAGTTGTTTCAATATTTTTGTAGAATTTATATCTGTGCGATTTTCAAAGTTTTTTTCTGTCTTTGGCGGTCGCGACTGGATCGTGTACATATTCCCATACGAGCTGATCGCCTGATCCTGGGTGTTGGAGATTTGGTCAGCACTTGTTTCCAACTACCAAACTGACATGACGTCATTTTTGGAAGATGGAAGGGGTGTTAAATGGCTATGTAACTAGCCCAAACCCCACCCCTACTCTAACCTCTAACCCTAACCGCAACCCTAACTCTAACCCTAACCCTAACCAAATTAATGAAAAAATCCAAAAAGAAACTACATTAGAAATTGATCAAATGACGTAATGTCAGTTTGGTAGATGGAAACAAGTGAAAACCTGGAGATTTACCGGTGTAGGGATAAATAGGGATAGATATGGATAAATTACCTGTTCGCGGGCTAGACGATAAAAGTACGTTATGTAAGTAAATATGTAATGGTTCAAAGATGGCGACGGGAAAAACGTACTAAGAACGTTAAACGTGAGAGAGTTGATTTTTGTAATGTTTCCTATTATGCTATAGTAACCACTCAGAATGCCACTAGGTATAATACTAACTTTATTTATGATTCGACCTGGTAATTATATAAATCAGATGTTACGTAATAAGTGTTATACGATATTGTTGATTAGTTGTTGGTCCATGTCATGACATCCCCCTTCTTTGGAATAAACAATCCTGCGTTAAAAGTCAATTAATCAATTTCATTAATTCTTAATCACTAGTAATCAATAAAAATGTATGTGTATATAACGGTTCAGTCAAACCCATAACGACTGGGTTGTGCAATTGTTTTTCCTAGGCTGGAACGCGTAACTGGTTTGTTTTCAGTCGCGCTGGTCTGTGGGGTTTCATCATCGTTCCGACTGTCACGCTGGCACTTTTCCAAATCTCTCCGGTTTCTCCTGTATTCTCCTCCTGATTCACTTGTGATTGTATAGGATCGTGGTTCTTCGTTAACTCTCGTAACTGTGGCAGGTAACCATACTTTCTTGTCTTCGTCACGCATTTTCACGTTATCACCTTGTTTTAACGGCTCAAGAGGTTTTGCGTTTCGATCATAGTACAGTTTCTGTTTCTGTTGCCTCTCTTGTAGGGCTGGTTTGATCTTTGCAGTGTCGAACTTTGGTACTAGGAGCGCTTTATGCGATGGAAGACGAGTTCTCGTTCGTCTACCCATGAGCATTTGGACTGGAGATAGGCCAATCCCATCTATTGGTGTGTTACGTAGAGCTAGAATAGCTAGGTTAGGGTCGCTGTTGCCCTCTTTCGCTTTCACAAAGATGCTCTTAACCGTTTGGACTGTCCGTTCCGCAAGGCCATTGGATTGTGGGTACTTTGGCGAGGACGTCGTGTGCTTAAACTCGTATTTATCGGCGAATTCTTTGAACTCCTTACAGCTGAATTGTGGCCCGTTGTCGGATATCACTTCCTCGGGTATTCCATAGCGTGCGAAGTGGGGTTTTATGTGGCGTATGGTTCCTGATGCTGTAACGCTCGTTAGCTTCGATACCTCGAAAAATTTGGAGTAATAGTCCGTTATGACAATGTACGTATCTTTGCCGAATTGGAATAAGTCCATACTGACTTTTTGCCACGGTCTGTCTGGGATTTCGTGTCCTCTCATTGGCTCTTTCTGTTGCTTGTTTCGGTATTTTGTGCACGTCTCGCATCTGGACACCATTTGTGCGATCTGGTCGTTCATTCCTGGCCAATATAGAATGTCTCGAGCTCTGCGTTTGCACTTTTCAATTCCCAAATGATTCTCGTGGATCTTTGTGAGCATTGCAGTTCTTAGCGTTCTTGGTACGATTAGTCGCTCTCCTCTAAGAAGTAGTCCCTCTTCTTCGCTGATCTCGTCTCTTACCGACCAAAATTGGTGGATTTCAGGATCTACTGAGTGCTTATTTTCTGGCCATCCTCGCTTCGTTTGTTGCAACAGTTTTTGAAGGACCGTGTCTTTGTTGGTCTCGACCTTGAATTCCTCAATCCTTTCTGTTGACACGGGCAAGTTCTGGATCGTATGTACGTAGCTAGTCTCTTGTTCAGGTTCCGTTTGGGTTCCTGGGGCCCTGCTCAGCGTGTCGGCGATGTATAGCGTTCTTCCGGGCTTGTAGTAGACAGACAGGTCGTACTGTTGAAGACTCAGCATCATTCTCTGCAGTCGTGGCGGCGACGCTATCAATGGTTTCTTGAAGAGATACTCAAGGGGTTTGTGATCTGTTTCGATTGTAACCGGTTTTCCATAAATGTATTGGTGGTATTTTTTGCATCCAAAGACTATCGCAAGCAGCTCTTTCTCAATTTGGGCATAGTTTTTTTCTGCCTGGTTTAGAGATCGTGACGCGTATGAGACTGGTTTGCTATCTTGCATGAGGCATGCTCCGAGCCCATAGGATGATGAATCAACAGATAATGTAACCGGTTCTGTCACGTCGTAGTATTTGAGTAGCTTGTCCTGCATTAAACTGCTTTTGACGCGATTGAATGCGTTTTCGTGAGTTTTTGTCCAATGCCACTCAATGTCTTTCTTGATTAGCTCTCTTAACGGCTGTGTCAGATCAGATAGACTTGGGACAAATTTGGCAAGATAGTTCACCATGCCTAAAAATCTCATTAAATCTTTCTTGTCCTTAGGCGTTGTAATGTCATGTATCGCCTTCACCTTTTCGGGGTCGGGTTTCAATCCGTCCCTTGTAATCTTGTGTCCGATATATGAAACCTCAGTGGTCTGAATCCTCGACTTGTCCTTGTTTAGCTTTAAGTTAATTTGACGTACTCTTTCTAAAACCTGTTTAAGACGATCATTATGTTCTGCCTCGTCTTTACCCCAAATTAAAATGTCGTCTACGATGACTTCCACACCGTCAATGTCCTCAAATGCCTGGCTCATTCTCCTCTGGAAAACTTCGCTGGCCGAGTTTATGCCAAATGGCATTCTTAGGAAGCGATATCGTCCGAATGGGGTGTTGAATGTCGTCAATTTGGAGCTGTTCTCGTCGAGCTTGACATGCCAAAACCCGGAAGATGCGTCTAACGTGCTGAAAACTTGCGCACCGTTCAGTTGTGCAGCGATTTCTTCTA